TTTTTTTTTTTAAATTTTTTTTATTGATGCACAGTCTCACTTTGTCACCCTTGGTAGAGAGCTGTGGTGTCATAGCTCCCAGCAACCTCACACTCTCTGCTCAAGTGATTCTCTTGCCTAGCCTCCCAAGTAGCTGGGACTATAGGCGCTCACCACAACATCTTTTTTTGTTTGTTTGTTTAGCAGGCCCCAGCTGCCTTTGAACCCATTGACCCTGGAGCATGTGGCCAGCACCCTAACCACTGAGCTATGAGTGTCCAGTCTTGATAAACTTTTATTTATGGATGAAACTGTAGGTGTGAGATTTGCTGTAAAGTAACCTGGGCATTGAGAGGTGAATCAGGACTGCTGAGACGTAATTCTTGAGGCTGAGCAGTGGAGACTTGGGCTCACTCTGCTGTCCTCTCTCCATTTGTATGTGTTTGCTCTCAAACTGCTGATCTTGTTTTTCTTTTTGTTTCCTTTTTGTTTTTTTAATTTTTGAGACAGGGTCTCGCTCTGTCACCAGGCTGGAGTGCAGTGGGATATCATAGCTCACTATAATCTGAAAATTCTGGGCTCAAGTGATCCTCCTGCCTCAGCCTCCTGAGTAGCTGGGACTAGAGATGTGGACCACCATTTGTGTGTGTTTGGATGTTTTCACTGTAAAAAATGCTTAAGTGTCTGAATTTTATGTAATTGCAGTTATTGTAGATGGTGAGGAAATATCCACACTTAGCAAAGGGAAAAATTGGCAGCTCTTAGGGTTCCTTTGGTTCTTTTTTTTTTTTTTTTAATTTTCCTGGTTCGCGAAGTCCAGAAAGCTTAGGATTGTTATTATTACCGCTTACTCTTTGGAGATGAGATCAGACTGGAGTTGATTGGCAAGTGTGGGGAGATTTTTGTTCCCCAGACTTGTCTCCAGTGTCAGGGTACGATACAGAGCAGACAGTGTTTTCCATGTCGTGTGCATAATCGGTGGCTAGTTAGCATGCTTCTCCTGATGTCTGTACTGTGGGTATTCCTCAGCTGTAGTGATTTATTTCTGGTAGATGGTGGCAGTTGCTATACCTCTTCTATGGGAAGTGGCTGAAGCGATAGTGGGAGGATAGTCAACCTTGAATGATGGCCTCACTGTTCACCCTACAGACACCAGTACCCACTCTGCAGCTCTGGTGATTTAAGAGGCCGGAGTCCAGGAGCAGGGACACTTGGATTCAAGGGCTCAGCATACCACCTGCCCAGTCAGGCTCGGTCACTCCCTTATGCACCTCATTCCATGCTGCAGGAGGAACCAGCAGGCCCAAGTTCACATATCCGAGGTAAGCTTACAGAGGGATCTGTGTATTTTTTCATTCCACACTTACCTGCCTCTCATTCAGCAGTGACTGTTCAATAGGTGACAAGGCTTAGATAATTCCCATTAGGAAAGGCTCTTTTTGTTCCCTCAAATCAGAGAACTTAGGGTTGATTTTTCAAAGTTTTTAATATTTGTGTTCTTCATAGAGGTTTTTATATAAAAAATATTTGATCCATATACATAATAAGATGAATTTGAGTGACTTAATAAGAGTACTTTCACTGGAGCACTTGGGCACACCTCACTTGTTGATCTTTTGGGGCAGGCCAGGTCCTGGATATCAGAGGGAGTCATCATTTTTCTGATGTGTGTGAGCAATTTGAAGGATGTACAGTAGAACCTCTGCAATTTGACCACCCAAGGGTCTGCAACAAACTGGTCACCACACAGGTGGCCAACATAAGGAACGAGACCTGCTGTACCAGTATGTAAATATAGTCTCTGAAAATTTGGTCAACTTAAGGAGGTGGTCAGTGCAGGGAAGTGGGCACCTGTGGAGATTCTACTGTATTTTTCTAATTGTGATTGAAGCAACCTGAGCTTTTGCAGAAAGGCTGAATGGAGAGGTGGGGCGTGGGAAGGGAAGTGGTGGATACAAGTGTAGCAGTGGCAGTGACGGGTCTCTTCTCTGTTACAGTTTCTGTGCAGCTGCACCAATTATCAAGCCTCTGTTAGGAGCTAATATGTAGCAAGCTCTGTAGCACTTCCTAAGCTTATTATTTTTGTCATTATTTTGTTCCCATTTTATAACTGAAGAATACAAGAATTGCAAAAAAGTTACTAGTCCCTGGATTTTGTAGCTAAGGGGGATAGAAGCCCCCAGGGCTGCTGCCTTTGTGAGTCTGCCTCTCCCTCTTACCCACTTTGTTCTTTTTGGTGAGTGGCCTTGGAAGGTGTTGGCCTAGGTTGAAGTGTCTTCCTGTTCTCTAGGCCTGTGACTTGCTCTTTTTCTTCTCCCTCAGTCTTCACTTCTAGAAAGATAATTTGTACAAGCACTGTGTAGTGGAAATATAATGCAAATCACAAATGTAATTTGAAATTTTATAATTAGCCACATTAAAAATAATAAGCAGGTGAAATTAATTTTCATAATTTATTTAACTCAGTATTTATCAGTTACTATCATTTTAACATGTAACTATCTAACAAATTACTGAGATATTTTCTATTCTTTTTTTTTTTTTTGAGATAGAATCTTACTTGGTAACCCATGGTAGAGTGCTGTGGCATCACAGCTCACAGCAACCTCGAACTCTTAGGCTTAAGTGATTCTCTTGCCTCAGCCTCCCAAGTAGCTGGGACCAGAGGTGCCCACCATAATGCCTGGCTATTTTTTGGTTGCAGTTATCATTGTTGTTTAGCTGGCCTGGGCGGGGTTTGAACCCACCAGCCTCAATGCATGCAGTTGGTGCCGTAACAACTGTGCTACAAGTGCTGAGCCCATGTTTTTTATTATTTTCTTATACTGTGTTTTGGAAATCTGGTGTGTACTTTACACTTACAGCACATCTCAACTTGAACTAGCCTCGTTTCACGAGCTCAATAACCACGTGTGACCTGTGGCCTTCACACTGAAGAGTGCAGGTCTGTGCAGATACTCATATTAATCTGTCCTGCGTCTTGCTTCCTCTATTGCATGGATGTGTGTGTGTGTGACCAGAATGTATATACGAAAATTAGTGTTTTTCTGTTTGAGCTGATGCTAGGATGTGATGGCCTTTGGAAGGAAATAGAACTGACTTTAGTGTCCAGAGCCACTTGATGAATGTGTGTTGAAGAGATGCATGGAGCAGGGGTAAATCGGTCTATTTGTGGAGGCATCTTGTCTTATTGAGAGAGAAGTAGGAACTCTAACGTGTCCATTAGGTCAGTGGTGTCTCTGTGTTTCACACTTCCTCTGTAGAGCTGGGAGCTGATCCAGGAGAGCTTTTGTGGTGACTGGCATCCATAATGACCAAAGAGAGGGTTTTGAGAGAAGTGATGTTTTTGTTCATGAGCCTTCATTCTTCATAGGTCTGTGCTCCTTGTCCCCACAGTGATGCACCATGCCAATAGTGGATAAGCTGAAGGAGGCCTTGAAGCCTGGCCGCAAGGACTCAGCCGATGATGGGGAACTGGGGAAGCTTCTGGCCTCCTCTGCCAAGAAGGTTCTTCTGCAGAAGATTGAGTTTGAGCCAGCCAGCAAGAGTTTCTCCTACCAACTGGAGTCCTTAAAGAGCAAATATGTGTTGTTGAACCCTAAAGCAGAGGGTGCCAGTCGCCCCAAGAGTGGAGATGAACTGCAAGTCAGAACACAGGGTACAGATTTGTAATGTGCCGTCAGAAAGCCCCTGACTGTGTTTGATTGAGTAGATGCACTCAAGTTGTTTGATGAGTAGAAACAGCAACAGAATGTGGTCAGAGTGAGGGATTTCTTTTTTTTTTTTTTGAGAAGAGCCTCAAGCTGTCCCCCTGGGTAGAGTGCCATGGCATTACAGCTCACAGCAACCTCCAACTCCTGGGCTCAAGCGAGTCTCCTGCCTCCGCCTCCCAAGTAGCTGGGACCACAGGCGCCCGCCACAACGCCTGGCTATTTTTTGGTTGCAGCCGTCATTGTTGTTTGGCGGGTCCGGGCTGGGGATTCGAACCCGCCACCTTAGGTGTACATGGCTGGCGCCTTAGCCGGTTGAGCTATAGGCGCTGAGCCAGAGTGAGGGATTTCACATGGGGGCAGTCAAGTTCAGTCATAGTAAATGACACAGTAATGATGCAGGGCCGGCAGGAAGGAGATCTGCACACTGGAGTATTCCTTAGAAGTTGCTCCCCTGCCTTTAGATTTAATAGGATCAAAACTAGCCCTTGGAAATAAGAAAGAGAAATGGGATGGGCTGCATGGGGGCACAAAATGGTGTAGTGTCAGAGCCTGCTTCCTTCAGCTGCTGCTCTGAGTGGTGCTCTCCTGTCCACAGAGTGGTCCTGGATTCCAGACCTACGCATTCTGAAAGGCCCATGGAATGACGGGGTTTACTCCGCACTTTCCTAGAGATGTCCAGTAAATGAGAAAACCAATTACCCTTTGAGGCTGCATTCTGTGCAACTGTGTGTTAAGTGTATGTATCAGGAAATTACTTTGGTGGTCCACCTGTGCATAGGCTGATGTTGTCCTCTTTTTTTTCCTGTGTTCCTTTACCTCTCAGGCAGCGAGTATATATATGATGGTGGTGATGGAGTCCCAGCCCCACAGAAGGTGCTTTTTCCCATGGAGCGACTGTCTTTGAGGTGGGAGCGTGTCTTCCGTGTTGGCGCAGGACTCCACAACCTTGGCAACACCTGCTTCCTAAACTCCACCATCCAGTGCTTGACGTACACACCACCCCTGGCCAACTACCTGCTCTCCAGAGAGCATGCTCGCAGCTGTGAGTACGGATTTGCAGTGGGGGTTGGCTCTGAGTCCTGGGAGTTAGATGAGCCCCTGTGCTTGTGGCACTGCTGCTTTTAGTCTGGATCTAATTTAACATTGAAATTCGTGATGTGTACTAAACCTAAATTTGATGTGTGCTAATGCAGGTTGGGCTGTGAAAGCGAATCAGTGGGGTAGGGTTGTGTCCTCCAGACTTTCCTGAAAATAATTACCTGAACAGGAAAGGTTTACAAAAGATGCCTTCAAAATTTGTGTATCCAAATTATTGTATACATTTATTGTTGTATCAATATGTTTCACGTACGTTATAAAATGTGTCCCAAAGCAGAGGTTAAAAATGAGTAATACAAAGGTGAAATAAAATATAACTAACCAAAACCTGGAGGAAATAGAAAGCCTGAAGAGTCTTTTAACTGTTAAAGAAGTTAAAGCAGTGATTTAAAATCTTCCCATGAAAAAACCCCAAGCTGAGATGATTATACAGGTGTATTCTGTGAAACTTGACAAATCATTCCAATTCTTTACCACCACTTCTGACGAATAGGAAACATAGAATAGTCCCCAATTCATCTGTGGGGTTCTTATAACTTGGATAATAAAAATAAAACAAGAAATTTTTGAGAAAGAGAAATTATAATCCCATCTTATTCATGAACATAGATGTAAAAGTGCTAGAAAAAATGCTAGCAAATGGCACAGTTAAAAAAAATTACACTACTTGTGTTTATCATAGGAATGCAGGGATGTTGTGATAAAAGAATAGCTTTAATAGAATCACGGAGCTAGTACAGCTTGATTTAGGAGCCTGGCCTGTGGGGTTTGCGTCCCAGCTCTGCCCCTTAGTAGCTGTAAGTCCTGAGACTGTTACGTAACCTCTTTGTGCTTCTTGTCCCTTGTCATCCCTACAGAGTTGTGAGGCTGGAATTCTATTAAGTGCTTGAAATAGTACCTGGCACACAGTAAGCATGAGTGACTGCTAGTTTTGTGACCTTAATTACTGTTACTATATTACCAGATTAAAAGAGGATGGTCAGCTGGGTGTGGTGTATGTGCATGCCTATAGTTGCAGCTCCTCAGGAGGCTGAGGCAAGAGTATTGCTGAAGCTCAGGAGTTTGCGCCTCCAGTGAGTTAAGCTGATGCCACTGTGCCCTAGCCCAGGCAACAAAGCAAGACCTTGTCTCAAAAAAAAAAAATTAAAAAATAAAAAAAATAACCAGTTACTTGAATTTCTCTGTATGAAACAAAGAATTGTTAGAATGTTGTCACCATAAAAAAATGCAAAAAAGCAACATAAAGCAGTATAAAAGCAACATAAGCAGTAAAATAATCAGAACTAAATTTAGCAAAAAGTCTTTAGCAAAGAACATTAAGTAATAACCCACATAAATGTAGAGATAGCTGCTTTCGCAGAGGGAAGCTTAAATAAAAACATTGACCCTTTTCAGGTTAATGTACAGGCATATCTTGTTTTGTTGCAGTTTGCAGATACTGTTTCACCAGTTGGTTGTGTGGCATCTAGAGCCATTTGTCAGTTTTGTGAGGATTGATTTTATTGAAACTAGGTAAGGTCTATAAACCCTTGTGACCTGGCACAGGTGAGCTGCGGTGTGTTGCAGGTCACTGTAGCAGCGTGTGACTACAGCAAGCTCCTCCTCCCGTCCTTCCCATGGGATGGGATACTTCTATGAGCAGCATGAGCCAGCCGAGGGAGGGGGCCAGGGTTACTCTGTGAAGCATTAAGGCACTTTAATTTCTTTTTTTTTTTAAGTAAAATATACTAAGAGAAGTTGTAGTCTTTTTTTCCTATACCCCACTGGATCTCTGAGTGGACTTGAGCCTCTCTTTGTCCTGAATGTGATGTTTGAAGAGTCTCAGGGACCCTCAGACAGGTCATGGCAAGGGTCTCCTGTGTGGGTAGCACCACGCAGCAGTTCCTAGGGCCACCTGGCTAGGCCACCTGGCTAGACTGCCTGCAGCACCAGTATCAAGCTAAAAAATAAGCACTTTGTGTAACAAATCCAGAAAGAACAAAGTTAAATCCTGTCCTTTAGTACACCGTTTCCCAAATTTAAGTGGCAGTGCCCCTAAAATCATAAGATTTGACTTTGGAGTTACATTATTCTAAATACATGGGAAAAGTGGCTTATCCATGTGCCACTTTTATCTCAGATAACTAGGGATTTGGGTTATTTCAAGTATTTCTGGCTTAGATTGTAACTCTGTTTAAGTGATACATTCTCGGCTCGGCTCCTATAGCTCAACCGGCTAAGGCGCCAGCCATGTACACCTAAGGTGGCGGGTTCGAATCCCCAGCCTGGACCCGCCAAACAACAATGACGGCTGCAACCAAAAAATGGCCGGGCGTTGTGGCGGGCGCCTGTGGTCCCAGCTACTTGGGAGGCAGAGGCGGGAGACTCGCTTGAGCCCAGGAGTTGGAGGTTGCTGTGAGCTGTAATGCCACGGCACTCTACCCAGGGGGACAGCTTGAGGCTCTGTCTCAAAAAAAATAAAATTAAATTAAATTAAATAAGTGATACATTCTCAGGCTGGAAGTCTGTAGCATTTTACATAATGAGGAGAGCTTCACTTCTACACCCCATTACAGTAAATAACATCTTACTTGTATTTAGGTTGTGCAAAAAGGAGCTTTTTAACATTTGTTATGCTTATGTTTTCCTTAACATATATTAGTTTTTGCCTAAATTTAGCCCCCCAACCATTATTGTCATTTAAAAAATAAAAGTAATAAATAAACATGGTTAGAAAGTCAAACAAAAGTCTAAAAATTAAAAATAAAAGCCTTTTCTTTCTTTCTTTTTTTTTTTTTCACTTTGTCACCCTCAATAGAGTGCTGTGGCTTTATAGCTCACAGCAACCTCAAGCTCTTGGGCTCAAGCGATTTTCTTGCCTGATCCTACCAAGTAGCTGGGACTGCAGGTTCCCACCACAATGCTCGGCTGTTTTTAGAGACGAGGTCTCACTCTGGCTCAGGCTGGTCTTGAACCTGTGAGCTCAGGCAATCCACCTGCACCTTGGCCTCCCAGAGTGCTGGGATTATAGGTGTGAGCCACTGCACGCAGCTGAAAAGCCTCTTCTTTATGTAAAGGCAATAACATGTATTTTTGGTGAGAATTTTTGTGTAAATGGTAGTATTTTAATACATGGTTAAGTGGGCCACATGCTTATCCATTGTTGATTTTGAGATAGGTAGGTTTTGAGTTTTATTCAATGTCTCTGAGAAATTAAGAGGTATCAAGGTAGAAATAATTGATTTGAGTTGAATTTTGTGTTACAAGATGGATCTATTTGTAAAGGTGCGCACTACGGTCTAGATAGCATCTTGCAGAATTGAAAATGTATTTGCCCTTTGATCCAGAAATGTATCTTCTAGGCATATACCTTAGAGAAACTTGCCCCTGTGCATAGGGAGATAGGTATACGATTGCTCGTTGTAGTATGTTTGTGATAGCAGAAAAAATGGAAAGGCTAAGTGTGTTAGCAGATACGTAAACAAACTGGTCTGTTCATTCTATGAAACATTCTAGCTCTAAGATCGGAGAAACTAGAGTTAAATCTAGCAAGATGGATTTTTAAAATGCAAGTTGCTGAGCGACATGTATTTGTGATACAATTTGTATAATGCAAAATAAGTTTAAACATGCAGCTACAGTGCCATCTATTATTTATTAATACACCTGTGTATCAGTACAGTAATACACAGACTAATGAGGCCCACTGCCTGTGTTTGTAAATAAAGTTTAATTGATACTTCCATGCCTATTTGTTTACATATTGTCCGGTTTCTCTTGCTCTACAGTGGCAAGATTGCATAGTTGTGACAGAGATTGTATAGCCTGCAAAGCAGAAAAGATTTACTGTCTGGATCTTCACAGAAAAAGTTTTTAGACCCTGATAAATAGCAGTGAGGTATTTGCTAGAAACAACAGAGCAAAAGTCCCCACACTGGAGAGCCAAGTAAGGTACCCTAAAATATTTTAGCCTATTGACCATGTGATGCAGCATAATTATTAGAGAAAACATTTTCCCAGATTTCTATTTTGAAAATCAGATTTACTCTTTTTGTAAGTAAATAATACTAATTAGATATGGACAGGATCCCACGTGAGTCATTGACATTAACTGGAAGTGACAATGTGAGATTGTTAGGATTAACGCTGTGGAGGAGTCATGGTCCCCAAGCATTTCCTTGGTGATCCCCACAGGGTATCAGGGGCCTAGGGTCCCTGCAGCTCAGCCATCCTTTCACAGACTAGTTTGCTCTTCTCTCTCTGTGCTTCTGTCTTGGCTATGATGGGGCGTGAGCATTGTCATGAATTCCTTTTTAAGTTTTTGTCTTCACTTCCCTGTTGCAGGTCACCAGGGGAGCTTCTGCATGCTGTGTGTCATGCAGAACCACATTGTCCAGGCTTTTGCCAACAGTGGCAATGCTATCAAGCCTGTCTCCTTCATCCGGGACCTGAAAAGTAAGAATCAACCCTCTGCCTGTGTTTGTAAATAACTTTTTATTAAACACTGTCACACCTATCGAATGCCTGCTAAGTGTTCACTCTGTAGTGGGTGCTAGAGAGGTGGTAGAAGGGAAAGGAGTGAAGTCCTCAGAGTCCCATGTGCTGAGTGTCTGCGTGTGGGGGTGCAGACCAAAGGAATGACTTTACAGTTTGGAGGCACGTGGGCTAGTCAGTGGCGAAGTTCTTGGCGGGGTGAGTCATGACAGGTTTTGACCTGGCAGAGGGGATTGTTAATGTATTCTGGTCAGGCAGAGAGCTGGGAAGAAGATGGGTAAGAAATGTACCAACTCTCTTCTGAATGTTAGGAACCAGTTGTCACATGCTGTAAAAGTCTCATTTCTCATTCACTTGGCAGAAAAGAGTGGTCTGTTCCTGGCTTTTGAAACCTGTGTAACTTATAGCATTGTGATATTATTATATCAATCTGTTTTCTGTATGGGTTCCTGCAGAACTAGTTACTCAAATTTTACCTTTTTTTTTTTTAGATAAGGTCTTGCTCTGTCCCCTGGGCTAGAATGCAATGGTGTCATCGTAGCTCAGAGCAACCTCAGATTCCTGGGCTCATGTGATGATTTTGCCTCAGCCTCCCAAGTAGCTGGGACTGCAGGCATTTGTTATTGCATCTAGCTGATTTTTCTGTCTTTAGTAGAGATGGGGGTCTTGCTCTTGCTCAGGCTGGTCTTGAACTCCTGACCTCAAGTAGTGCTCCCACCTCAGCCTCCCTGAATGCTAGGATTACAGGAGGGAACCTCTGCCTGGCCACATTTTACATTTGTAACAGCTTGGTTTTCTTGGCATTTGTGCTGTTCTGTTAAGTAGTGAGGTTCAGTCCTCAGATCTTACTGAGAAAATAACTATGATGAATTCTTGACTGGGAAGTAGAAAATTTATATGCAGCTCCTGTTTTCCTCACTTGCCTCTTGAAAAGGTAGACTGTGTGACCCTGTGCCATGTAGGATTGGCTGGAGAAGGCGGTGGTAGGCTGCTTGGAAAAAGGCACATGGTCTTCCCTGTCTCTTCTTCCCTCTGTAGAGATTGCCCGGCATTTCCGCTTTGGGAACCAAGAGGATGCACACGAGTTTCTTCGGTACACCATCGACGCGATGCAGAAGGCCTGCTTGAATGGTTATGCTAAGTACGTACCTTTCCTAAGAGGCTTTGGTCATCTTTATACGGTAGGACAGGCTACGGTCATCTTTATACGGTAGCAGTAGGACATTGTTGTGGAGGCAGCCAGCTCTGCTCCTTTCTACCCCGCTCTCTGGTAGATACAACAGAATCTGCATCTAGGTGCTTGACGTGCAGAGGCCCACATAGGGGGTTATCCTTGCTTCTGGGGAAAGGGCCATCTCTGGCACCTTCTCCTGCTGAGGGCTCTTTGGTTGCAGTGGTGATGGCAGCAGCTCTGCCTCAGCAGCTCAGTTGAGGGGAAATGCTTTAACAAATCTCATTTAGGATGTTCAGCTTTTGCCATGGACTTTTCCAGTGTTTTAAAAATAACTTCATGATTTTCATATAGAGGATGACAGTGGTAGAAATTACAATATCTGTATGATAAAACCTAAAAGCATACAGGAGCATTTCATGTCAGGAACTTAACAATTTTTAAGACTTTGCCTGGTCACAATTTACTAATTTCAAATATGAAAGCATAAAACGTATGCACGTAGCTGTGGATGTCTTCACGCCACATCTTCCCGTACGTGTGACAGGTACCAGGTACTGTTGAGAATGGTTTTTATATCGTTCTTGGCTTCATGGGTTCAGATAAAAGAAATAGGTAGGAAATGCTCACGATTCCCTGGTTATTGCCTAGGGTTGGCACACGGGAAATAGCTAAACCCATTAGGAAATGGGCCTAGAGTGTTCTTTAGAAAGGTTAGTTGAGTTGTAGCAATAAGTGATTGAAATGGAAAAAGAGGCTCGGTGCCTGTGGCTCAAGCGGCTAAGGTGCCAGCCACATACACCTAAGGTGGTGGGTTCGAATCCAGCCCGGGCCCGCCAAACAACAATGATGCTGCAATCAAAAAATAGCCGGGCGTTGTGGCGGG